TTTGTATGGAATTTATACAGGAATGTGTGTCTTTACACCCAATATACCTTTTCATATTCTATTATAGGACAAACCAAACTTTCATATAATTTTACAAATACATCGAAACAAACACCACCTAAAAGTTTACACTTGGCTATTACCATCCCTAAAGCTCTATTTGTTGAAGATGCAACGGCTTTTGCAGTGATATTATAGTCTAAATGCTTGTTTAAAACGAGACCAAGATAAGTATCATTACTAGAAGACTTAATAGTATGACCATTATAATTAAAAATTACATCATATCTACGTATAGATGGTGGTCTAAATTGTACAATGTTACTCTTGTGTGTATCAATTGTCTTCAAATCATGTACAAAAAGCATTTAACAAAAGTTGTAACTCTTTTTCATCGTTTGCTATAATAACAACGTCATCAGCATATAATAAAATACATTTTTTCATCACCAATTTCTATTCTGCAGTCAAAGGACTTAAGAAATGTTACTCAATCATTAATATACAAGTTGAACAAAATGAGCGACAAGGGACATCCTTGTTTCAAGCCAGTGTTTACATCAAACCAGTCTCAAATGACCGTTTATTCTTACAGAACATTAGAAATAAATTGACTTAATAGCAGAACAAAAAGTCTGTGCAGCACCAATTTTATTTAGTTTATACCATAAAATATATCTTTGAGCTAATCTATAGTTCAGTATATTACAGTACAATTTGTTAGACACTGATGCAAGGGCGATCCCTCTATAACAAAGGGGAGTTTCTGGCGTCTGACATGTTTAGGAATAGGATTTATAATACATCAATGATTTTAATAGGATATCAACAGGATCCATAAGAATACACTTAACGACACTATCTAATTAAGTGGATTAACCATGTTTGTTAGCTACATGTATCAGTGATTTTGCAGATCCATTTAACCAAAAATTCTAATGAAGCAGAAATTTATATTTGGAATTTTGTTTTCACTTGTGCTTAAATTTAGAACATAAATTAAGTTTTTCTAGTTTTCAATTTCCATCCATCAAACTGTGTCAAATACAAATTTAATTTTGATACAATAAATTTCCAAAATCGATTTAAAAATTATAAATTATAAAGTTTAAATATTATATATTCACAGTTCAAATGTTCATGCACTAATATTGTTTCTTTTTCAATGACAATAAAATACCAAATGTATATCATTTCAGAATTACATTGACAGTTCCCTTTGAATGACAAAACCATATCCTGAAGACATAGAAATCACTGATTCCTCCATAGAAAACAACAAGAAACACCTCAATAAGAACTACCTCAGAAATTCCGAAACCCACTATGTTAAATATTAGTGAAGATGATACCATGCAAGCAAAATGTACTTCTGAAATGATAATTTGATATTTGCTTAGTCCACAACAAAACTTTTAAGATATACATTAAAGGGTGCATGAACTAAACCATAAGTTAAAGTTAATTTTGTTTGTGCTAATTTGAAATTGAATTTTTTTTTGAATTTTGAATTTAAATATATTTAACAAAACTGCATATACATTTTTGTTTTTACCGTACAAAAGCAATCATATAAATAACAAGAAAAAGTATTTCACCGAATTGGGTGTTCTTATTTGGTTACTCAAAAGATGAAGCAAAAAGGAAAATACAAAATATTTACAGACTATTCTAATTTATTCATATGTAGATATGGTAACTTGTCAAATTTGAAGTTTCTATTTTAAGATCTTATTTAGAGCTGGCATTATTTACAACCAACAATTGATCTTTTGGCTATACAATTGAATTTGCTGGCAAACAAAAACTATCTGATGTATATACATTCTGAACTTGAATTTCAAACAATCTAAATAAAGTCATATTGTTCCAATTACTTAATAAACAATTCAGGTAAATAAGTAAATATCTAAATTGAAAATCTACTTTCTTTAATATGAATATTGAAAAAGAGGTTTACAATACATTCTTAATTATGAATGTCATATCCTTGTAGACATATTTAGGGCACTTGGTAAATTCTCATCTGATATTTTGAACATTAAAAAATTTATAAACTATACATCTATAAACTATAATCTTGTTTATTCTCTAAAGAATTAAAACTGTCTCTTCACGATTCTCAATTTAACATCTTATGCTGCCATGCTGCACCTTCTACTACCAAAACATCATATAAGTTGCATCTGTAACAAAAACATATCAATTCAGAAATTAATGTGATGCATGTTTTATGTCAAATCCTTAATTGGAGATAAGAATTTTTACAATCACCATACATTCTTATTAAAATATATCTCATTACAGTGAATATTTCAATAAATGAAATGAAGGACCAATTTGTAATAAAATTTCAAGCTGTTGTTCCAGGAAAAACTGATTTTAATTACCTAACAAATATAAACATAGTTTTAAGAACAATTGTTATGAATAAATACCTACATGTGACTAATCCTAATGTGCTATCTGCAATGGAAGCATCTTTCATGGTATAGGAGTCTTACATATTTAGGCTGTATCTGTAACAAAAATAAATATTTTAAATTAGTTTCAGCTTCAAAATCAAAGCTATTTGCTGTTGCAATCAATTCAGAAATTAATGATATGCATGTTTGATGTCAAATCCTAAATTGGAGACGTATGTTTACAATAACTTTACATTCTTATTAAAATATACTTCATTAGGATATGAATAGGAATAAAAGAAATTTTAGTCCAATTTGTTATAAATCTTCAATCTGTCGTTTCAGTGAAAACTGATTTTTAATGCCTCACAAATATAAACCTAGTTTAGAAATTAATGTGATGCATGTTTTACGTCAAATCCTAAATTTGAGACTAAAATTGAGAATGGAAATGGGGAATATGTCAAAGAGACAACAACCCGACCATAGAGCAGATAACAGCCGAAGTATATTTACAATTACTTAACTTATTACAGTAAATATTTGAATAAAAGAAATGTTAGACAAATTTGTAATAAAATTTCAAACTGTTGTTCAAGGGGAAAACTGATTTTTGTTACCTAACACATATAAAAAGAGTTAAAAGTACAATTATAATGACCAAATACCTACATGATATGTATCTTCGTGTGCTATATACCATGAAAGCATCTTCATTGTCTAGGAGTGTAACATATTTAGTCTGTATCTGTAGCAAAAACAAAAATTCTAAATCAGTATCTGCTTTACATAGAGAATATTGGTTGTGGCAATTAATTTAAAATTAATATGATGCTCTTTTTTATGACAAATCCTAATTTGAAAAACAAGTATATAAACAATTTCTATACAAGATCATTAAAAAAATCTTCATAAGAGTATAAATTTGAATAAAAGAAATTTAAAACCAATTTGTAATCAAATCTAATTTAAGCTGTCGTGCCAGGGAAAACGGATTTTTGTTACCTGCAAACCATATAAACATAGTTTAAAGTACAATTAAAATACCAAATACTTACATGCTACGTATCCAGATGTGTGATCAATCTACCATGAAACCATCTTCATTGTCAAGGAGTGTAACATATCTTGGCTGTATCTAACAAAATCAAATCATCAATTAGTATCAGCTTCAAATAGAGACTATTGGCTGTTGCAATCAATTATAAAATAAATTTCACTCATATTTTATGTCAAATCCTAAATTGGACACAAGTATATTTACAATTAAAAACCAATTGTTCTTTGAAGGTCTTTCCACATCAATTTTCTAAATAATTGAGAAGCTACTTCTGGTTTACTCAAAGCTACTATTGGCGTCCAATCATAGGTTTCTTCATACTGATTCAATAAATATATGATTCTATAGACTTTTGCCTGAAATAACGGAGATAATTGTCAACTTCCGGTCTCATTTGATAGCTTTATTCACTCTAATTCCAAAAATTTATAGTTTGTAAATACTTATGCATGTAATAAGGGAGATATGCTACTTCTGGTTTATAAAATGTCACTTCCGGTCTCAAATGATAGGTTAATGTATGACCATTCAAAAAATATATGGTTTCTATGTATTTTTACATAAAATAAGTGCAAAAATGACTACTTCCGGTTCATTCAAGGTCACTTCCGGTTGATATTTTTCGAGGTCACATGTCACTTAACATTTTCTTAAAGACCTTATTGCTTTATCATGTACCAATCTGAAGTAATAATCAATTTACCTTAAAATTAAACATTTCAAGGGCAATAACTCCTATAAGATGTCACTGGATTGTTTCAGACCAAATGTATCATATCTTCATCACAATAAAACAAACATTTAGCACTAGTTTTTTATATATGACGTTAAAAATATCAGAGAAATTGCAAAAACAAGCAAAAGTGAAATTTAGTACATGATCTTGACCTTTGACCTTGACCTCATTTTCTAAGTTAGGCCCCAAGGACCTCAAATAAAAAGACTATAGGTTTATACGGCTTACCGTTTATGAGTTACAAAAACATAACGACAAATTTAATTGATAAAGGTAGATAACTCCTATAAAATTTCACCGGATTGCTTCAATCCAAATCAGCCAAAAATTTCTGAGGATGTAACGAACAATTATGAAAAAGAATTTTGTCGTTATTTTTTTTGGTTACGGGGGAGATACACTCACAAGAAAAACAGTGTTTGGGGAGACAACTCTTACAATAAAAAGTTCTTCGCCTTAAAGAGATGTTTAATAAGCGCAATAACTGTTCGATATCATATTCCAAATATCTAAGCGACATCTTGCAACACAAATTTATACCGCAGGAAAGGGTTTGGCGGAAGAAGAAGAAAAAAAATTAAAATAATAATCAGAACAAATACAATAGGTCTTTCCACAGAAAAAGACCTAATTACTACGCATTCATGTTAAAATTTACTTTCCTAGATTATAAATTTCATCAAAAGAAATATGTAAACTAAGTTGAAATAAGTTTAAACTATTGTTCCAGGGAAAACTGATATTTATTACCCAACACATATAAACATAGTCTAAAGTACAATTTTAATGACTAAATACCTACATGTTAAACATCCTTATGTCCCATCTACCATGAAACTATCTTCATTGTGTGGGAGTGGAACACATCTGGGCTGTATCTGTTACATAAGAAAAAATTAAATTAGCATCAGCTTTAGATAGAGAATTTTTAATGGCTGTTAAAAATATTAAAAAAATTAATGTGATTCATGTTTTATGTCAAATCTTAAATTATGGACAATTAATTTACAATTACTCTTTCATTCTTATTAAAATATACCACATTTGAAATTCGAATAAGATATTTTAGACCAATTTGTAATAAAATTTTAAGCTATTGTTTCAGTGAAAACAGATTTTATTGACTTCCAAATATTAACATAGTTCTAAGTACAATTGTAATGACCAAATACTTACATGTTGACTCTTCCTATCTGCCATGAATCCATCTTCTCTGTCTAGGAGTGCAACATATTTAGGCTGTATCATTAACAAAAACGATAACTTAATATCAGCTTTAAATAGAGACTATTTGCTGTTGCAATTTTTTCAGAATTTAATCTTTTGCATGTTGGACAAGAATATTTATAATTACAATACATTTCAATAAGAATATATATTTCATTAGAGTATAAATTTGAAGAAAATTTTTCTGAGACCAATTTGTAATAAAGTTTCAAATTGGTTGATAATGAAATAGAGCCAGACAAAAAAACTAAATACATTTTACCATAAACACAAGTTTTCATCATACTATGTAATCAGCTCTGCTGGGGGATCTGCTTTTACGAGATTAGCGCCCATTACATTCATCAATGTTATATCAAAATCTAAAGTTTGCTCTCTGCAGAGGTCTGCTTTTACGAGACCCATTTTAACATAAAGCATCTTTTTGTCAAATGGTTCAGGAAAAAACGGATTTTTATTACCTAACATTCATAAACATAGTTTTAAGAAAAATTGTAATGACCAATTACCTACATGAGCAACATCCTAATGTGCTATCTACAATGAAAGCATCTTTCATGGTATAGAAGTGTTACATATTTAAGCTGTATAATCTGTTACAAAAACAAAAATTATAAATTAGTTTCCGCTTTAAATCCAAACTTTTTGTTGTTGCAATCAATTCAGAAAATAATGTGATGCGTGTTTTATGTTAAATCCCAAATTGGAGAAAAGTAAATTGTTGATGATTTGGTTTTGTTACAGCCTAAATATATTACAATTATAATTACAATTACTATACATTCTTATTTAAATATTCAGCATTAGAGTATAAATTTGAATGAAAGACATTTTAGACCAATTTGTTATAAAGCTTCAATCTGTTGTTTCAGGAAAAAACTGATTTTTATTACCCAACATATATAAATACAGTTTTAAAGGAAAATTGTAATGACCAAATACATACATGCGACTTATCCTAATGTGCTATCTGCAATGGAAGCATCTTTCATGCTATAGGAGTCTTACATATTTAGACTGTATCTGTAATGAAAACAAAAAAAATATACATTAATTTCAGCTTTTAATACAGACTTTTTGCTGTTGCAATCAATTCAGAAATTAATGTGATACATGTTTTATGTCAAATCCTTAATTGGAGATAAGAATTTTTACAATCACCATACATTCTTATTAAAATATATCTCATTACAGTGAATATTTCAATAAATGAAATGAAGGACCAATTTGTAATAAACTGTCAAGCTGTTGTTCCAGGAAAAACTGATTTTAATTACCTAACAAATATAAACATAGTTTTAAGAACAATTGTTATGAATAAATACCTACATGTGACTAATCCTAATGTGCTATCTGCAATGGAAGCATCTTTCATGGTATAGGAGTCTTACATATCTAGGCTGTATCTGTAACAAAAACAAATATTTTAAATTAGTTTCAGCTTCAAAATCAAAGCTATTTGCTGTTGCAATCAATTCAGAAATTAATGATATGCATGTTTGATGTCAAATCCTAAATTGGAGACGTATGTTTACAATAACTTTACATTCTTATTAAAATATACTTCATTAGGATATGAATAGGAATAAAAGAAATTTTAGTCCAATTTGTTATAAAGCTTCAATCTGTCGTTTCAGTGAAAACTGATTTTTAATGCCTCACAAATATAAACCTGGTTTAAAGAAAAAAATTGTAATGAATAAATACCTACATGTGACAAATCCTAATGTGCTATCTACAATGAAACCATTTTCATTGTCGAAGAGTGTAACATATTTAGGCTGTATCTATAACAAAAACAAAAATTATCAATTAGTATCAGCTTCAAAAAGGGAATATTTGCTGTTGCAATCAATTCAGAAATTAATGTGATGCATGTTTTACGTCAAATCCTAAATTTGAGACTAAAATTGAGAATGGAAATGGGGAATATGTCAAAGAGACAACAACCCGACCATAGAGCAGATAACAGCCGAAGTATATTTACAATTACTTAACTTATTACAGTAAATATTTGAATAAAAGAAATGTTAGACAAATTTGTAATAAAATTTCAAACTGTTGTTCAAGGGGAAAACTGATTTTTGTTACCTAACACATGTAAAAAGAGTTAAAAGTACAATTATAATGACCAAATACCTACATGATATGTATCTTCGTGTGCTATATACCATGAAAGCATCTTCATTGTCTAGGAGTGTAACATATTAAGTCTGTATCTGTAACAAAAACAAAAATTCTAAATCAGTATCCGCTTTACATAGAGAATATTGGTTTTGGCAATTAATTTAAAATTAATATGCTGCTCTTTTTTATGACAAATCCTAATTTGAAAACAAGTATATAAACAATTTCTATACATGATCATTAAAATAATCTTCATAAGAGTATAAATTTGAATAAAAGAAATTTAAAACCAATTTGTAATCAAATTTAATTTAAGCTGTCGTGCCAGGGAAAACGGATTTTTGTTACCTGCAAACCATATAAACATAGTTTAAAGTACAATTAAAATACCAAATACTTACATGCTACGTATCCAGATGTGTGATCAATCTACCATGAAACCATCTTCATTGTCAAGGAGTGTAACATATTTTGGCTGTTGCAATCAATTATAAAATAAATTTCACTCATATTTTACGTCAAATCCTAAATTGGACACAAGTATATTTACAATTAAAAACCAATTGTTCAAAGAACAATTGAAGGTCTTTCCACATCAATTTTCTAAATAATTGAGAAGCTACTTCTGGTTTATTCAAAGCTACTATTGGTGTCCAATCAGGTTTCTTCATACTGATCCAATAAATATGTTTCTATAGACTTTTGCCTGAAATATCAGAGATAATTGTCAACTTCTGGTCTCATTTGATAGCTTTATTCACTCTAATTCCAAAAATTTATAATTTGTATATACTTATGCATGTAATAAGGGAGATATGCTACTTCCGGTTTATAAAATGTCACTTCCGGTCTCAAATGATAGGGTAATGTATGACCATTCAAAAAATATATGGTTTCTATGTAAACAAGCAAAAGCGAAATTAAGTACATGACCTTGACCTTTGACCTTGACCTCATTTTCTAAGTTAGGCCCCAAGGACCTCAAATAAAAAGACTATAGGTTTATACGGCTTACCGTTTATGAGTTACAAAAACATAAAGACAAATTTAATTGATAAAGGTAGATAACTCCTATAAAATTTCACCGGATTGCTTCAATCCAAATCGGCCAAAAATTTCTGAGGATGTAACCAACAAATATGAAAAAGAATTTTGTCGTTATCTTTTTTTGGTTACGGGGGAGATACACTCACAAGAAAAACAGTGTTTGGGGAGATAACTCTAACAATAAAAAATTCTTCGCCTTAAAGAGATAAGTTTAAAAAGCGCAATAACTGTTCGATATCATATTCAAAATATATAAGCGACATCTTGCAACACAAATTTATACTGCAAGAAAAGGGTTTGGCGGAAGAAAAAAAAAATTAAAACAAGAGTGCACACGCTGAAATGTCTCGCCTTCTTTACTAATCATTGATATTATGTTGATAGTCCTAAATATAAAGCTTTATTACAACTGTCACATAAACTTAACATTAACCAAGTAAACTAAACATTGACCAATGAACCATGAAAATGAGGTCAAGGTCAGATGAACCATGCTAGGCAGGCATGTACAGCTAACAATTCTTCCATACAACAAATATAGTTGACCTATTGCTTATAGTTTAAGAAAAACAGACGAAAACACAAAAACTTAACACTGAGCAATGAACCTTGAAATTGAGGTCAAGGTCAAATAAAACCTGCGTAACTGACATATAGATCATAAAATATTTCCATACACCAAATATAGTTGAACTATTGCATATAGTATTAGAAAAAAAGACCAAAACTCAAAAACTTAACTTTGACCACTGAACCATGAAAATGAGGTCAAGGTAAGATGACACCTGCCAGCTAGACATGTACACCTTACAATCATTCCATACACCAAATATAGCTGACCTATTGCATGCAGTATTAGAAAGAAAGACCAAACCTCAAAAACTTAACTTTGACCACTGAACCATGAAAATGAGGTCAAGGTCAGATGACACCTGCCAGCTAGACATGTACACCTTACAATCATTCCATACACCAAATATAGTAGACCTATTGCATACAGTATAAGAAAAACAGACCAAAACACAAAAACTTAACTATAACCACTGAACCATGAAAATGAGGTCAAGGTCAGATGACACCTGCCAGTTGGACATGTACACCTTACAGTCCTTCCATACACCGAATATACTAGACCTATTGCTTATAGTATCTGAGATATGGACTTGACCACCAAAACTTAACCTTGTTCACTGATCCATGAAATGAGGTCGAGGTCAAGTGAAAACTGTCTGACGGGCATGAGGACCTTGCAAGGTACGCACATACCAAATATAGTTATCCTATTACTTATAATAAGAGAGAATTTAACATTACAAAAAATCTGAACTTTTTTTTCAAGTAGTCACTGAACCATGAAAATGAGGTCAAGGACATTGGACATGTGACTGACGGAAACTTCGTAACATGAGGCATCCATATACAAAGTATGAAGCATCCAGGTCTTCCATCTTCTAAAATATAAAGCTTTTAAGAAGTTAGCTAAAGCCGCCGCCGCCGCCGGATCGCTATCCCTATGTCGAGCTTTCTGCGACAAAAGTCGCAGGCTCGACAATAATTAAAAACCAATTGTTCAGAGAACAATTGAAGGTCTTTCCACATCAATTTTCTAAATTATTGATGAGAAGCTACTTCCAGTTTACTCAAAGTTACTATTGGTGTCCAAGCTTTGGTTTCTTCATTCTGATTCAATTAATATATGGTTTCTATGTACTTTTGCCTGAAATAAGGGAGATTTTTGCCAACTTCCGGTTTAGAAAATGTCACTTCCGGTCTCATACGATAGCTTTATTTACACTGATTCCAAAAATATATGGTTTATATATACTTTTGCATGTAAAAAGGAGATAATTAGCTACTTCCGGTTTAGAAAATGTCACTTCCGGTCTAAGATTCACACTGATTCCAAAAATATATAGTTTGTATATACTTATGCCTGTAATAAGGTAGATAATATGCTACTTCCGGTTTATAAAATGTCACTTCCGGTCTCAAATGAAAGGTTAATGTATGTCCATTCAAAAAATATATGGTTTCTAGGTACTTTTCCATGCAATAAGTGCAAAAATGGCTACTTCCGGTTTAATCAAGGTCACTTCCGGTTGATATTGTTCAAGGTCATATGTCAACCAACAGTTTGCAAAAGACCATATGGCTTTATCATGTACCAAGTTGGAGTAATAATCAGTTAACCTTAAATTGAATCATTTTGGGGACAATAACTCCTATAAGATATCATTGGATTGTTTCAGATCAAATGTATCATATCTAAATCACAATTAAGCAAACATTTTGCACTGGTTCTTTAATTTGTAATTTTAAAAGTGACAGAGGAGATCAAATAACAAGGAAAAGTCAAAATTTAGAAATTGACCTTGACCTTTGACCTTGGCCTCAATTTCATTTAAATGAACCAAGGAACTCAAATCAATATACCTTAGGTCTCTATCACTTACCATTCATGCTATGCATTTATATATCCCTTATGTCAAATACAGAAGGGGAAATAACCCTCATAAGGAGTTTCAGTGGTCAAGTGTCTTGCAACGTAATGCAAAAAGTCCCATGGCTTTATCATGTATACATATGAGGAAAAAGCAAAGGTCAAAATCTAGAACGTCAATTTCAAATATGACCTTGAGCTCAATTTCAAGGTCATAAACCAAGGGCTTCAAATCAAAAGACCATAGGTCTTAATTAAATATGGTTAATGAGTTATATCATTATATTCCTAATTTTTAATGTAAGAGGGGAGAAAACTCCAATTTAATGTTAGCGTACCCTTTCAACCAAAATTCATGTGTTAAGACATGTCGCAACTTACAATTTAGTAAAAATATGTTGTCGATATCTTATACGATTTTTGAAAAGAATTGAAAATAAGCCAAAATCAAATTTTAAAATATGACCTTGACCTAATTTTCTTATTTTTGGATCAAGGACTTCAAATCAAAAGATCCTAGGTCTCTATCACTTATGGTTTACAAGATAGAAATGCATATCACTTATATCAAATGCATAAGGGGAAATAACTCTCATATGGAGTGTTCATATCGCTTTGGTTAAATATGACAAATCATGCAAAGGATATAACGAGCAATTTTATAAAATATATTTGGCGCTTTCTTTTACGGTTACGGAGATGCAGTCACTAGGAAAACAGTGTTCGGGGAGATAACTCCTCCAAATAAAATTGTTTGGCTTAGAATGGGTGAAAATAAAAAGCGCATAAACTGTATGATACTATATAAGAAATATCTAAGCGACATCTTGTGAAACAAAAATTTTACGCGAGAACAAAATTAGGCGGAAGAAAATAATAATAATCAGAACAAATACAATAGGTCTTTCCACAGAAAAGTGGAAAGACCTAATAATCAGAACAAATACAATAGGTCTTTCCACGGAAAAAAGACCTTACTACTACGCATTCATGTTAAAATTTACTTTCCTAGATTATAAATTTCAACAAAAGAAATATGTAAACTAATTTGAAATAAGATTTTATTTAAGCTATTGTTCCAGGGAAAACTGATATTTATTACCCAACACATATAAACATAGTCTAAAGTACAATTTTAATGACTAAATACCTACATGTTAAACATCCTAATGTCCCATCTACCATGAAACTATCTTCATTGTGTGGAAGTGGAACACATCTGGGCTGTATCTGTTACATAAGAAAAAATTAAATTAACATCAGCTTAAGATAAATTTAATGGCTGTTAAGAATTTAAAAAAATTAATGATTCATGTTTTATGTCAAATCTTAAATTATGGACAATCAATTTACAATTACTCTTTCATTCTTATTAAAATATACCACATTTGAAATTCGAATAAGATATTTTAGACCAATTTGTAATAAAATTTTAAGCTATTGTTTCAGTGAAAACAGATTTTATTGACTTCCAAATATTAACAAAGTTCTAAGTACAATTGTAATGGCCAAATACTTACATGTTGACTCTTCCTATCTGCCATGAATCCATCTTCTCTGTCTAGGAGTGCAACATATTTAGGCTGTATCTTTAACAAAAACAATAACTTAATATCAGCTTTAAATAGAGACTATTTGCTGCTGCAATTTTTTCAGAATTTAATCTTTTGCATGTTGGACAAGAATATTTATAATTACTATACATTCCAATAAGAATATATTTCATTAGAGTATAAATTTGAAGAAAATTTTTCTGAGACCAATTTGTAATAAAGTTTCAAATTGGTTGATAATGAAATAGAGCCAGACAAAAAAACTAAATACATTTTACCATAAACACAAGTTTTCATCATACTATGTAATCAGCTCTGCTGGGGGATCTGCTTTTACGAGATTAGCGCCTATTACATTCATCAATGTTATATCAAAATCTAAAGTTTGCTCTCTGCAGAGGTCTGCTTTTATGAGACCCATTTTAACATAAAGCATCTTTTTGTCAAACGGTTCAGGAAAAAACAGATTTTTATTACCTAACACTCATAAACATAGTTTTAAGAAGAATTGTTATGACCAAATACCTACATGAGCAACATCCTAATTTGCTATCTACAATGAAAGCGTCTTTCATGGTATAGGAGTGTTACATATTTAGGCTGTATAATCTGTAACAAAAACAAAAATTATAAATTAGTTTCCGCTTTAAATCCAAACTTTTTGTTGTTGCAATCAATTGAGAAAATAATGTGACGCGTGTTTTATGTTAAATCCCAAATTAGAGAAAAGTAAATTGTTGATGATTTGGTTTTGTTACAGATATAGCCTAAATATGTTACAATTATAATTACAACTACTATACATTCTTATTTAAATATTCAGCATTAGAGTATAAATTTGAATGAAAGAAATTTTAGACCAATTTGTTATATAGCTTCAATCTGTTGTTTCAGGAAAAAACTGATTTTTATTACCCAACAAATATAAATATAGTTTTAAGGAAAATTGTAATGACCAAATACTTACATGTGACTTATCTTAATGTGCTATTTGCAATGGAAGCATCTTTCATGGTATAGGAGTCTTACATATTTAGGCTGTATCTGTAATGAAAACAAAAAAAATATACATTAATTTCAGCTTTTAATACAGACTTTTTGCTGTTGCAATCAATTCAGAAAATTAATGTGACGCATGTTTTAGGTCAAATCCTTAATTGGAGATAAGAATTTTTACAATCACCATACATTCTTATTAAAATATATCTCATTACAGTGAATATTTCAATAAATGAAATGAAGGACCAATTTGTAATAAAATTTCAAGCTGTTGTTCCAGAAAAAACTGATTTTAATTACCTAACAAATATAAACATAGTTTTAAGAACAATTGTTATGAATAAATACCTACATGTGACTAATCCTAATGTGCTATCTGCAATGGAAGCATCTTTCATGGTATAGGAGTCTTACATATTTAGGCTGTATCTGTAATAAAAATAAATATTTCAAATTAGTTTCAGCTTCAAAATCAAAGCTATTTACTGTTGCAATCAATTCAGAAATTAATGATATGCATGTTTGATGTCAAATCCTAAATTGGAGACGTATGTTTACAATAACTTTACATTCTTATTAAAATATACTTCATTAGGATATGAATAGGAATAAAAGAAATTTTAGTCCAATTTGTTATAAAGCTTCAATCTGTCGTTTCAGTGAAAACTGATTTTTAATGCCTCACAAATATAAACCTAGTTTAAAAGAAAAAAATTGTAATGAATAAATACCTACATGTGACAAATCCTAATGTGCTATCTACAATGAAACCATTTTCATTGTCCAAGAATGTAACATATTTAGGCTGTATCTGTAACAAAAACAAAAATTATAAATTAGTATCATCTTTAAAAAGGGAATATTTGCTGTTTCAATCAATTCAGAAATTAATGTGATGCATGTTCTACGTCAAATCCTAAATTTGAGACTAAAATTGAGAATGGAAATGGGGAATATGTCAAAGAGACAACAACCCGACCATAGAGCAGATAACAGCCGAAGTATATTTACAATTACTTAACTTATTACAGTAAGTATTTGAATAAAAGAAATGTTAGACAAATTTGGAAATAAAATTTCAAACTATTGTTCAAGGGGAAAACTGATTTTTGTTACCTAACACATATAAAAAGAGTTAAAAGTACAATTATAATGACCAAATACCTACATGATATGTATCTTCGTGTGCTATATACCATGAAAGCATCTTCATTGTCTAGGAGTGTAACATATTTAGTCTGTATCTGTAACAAAAACAAAAATTCTAAATCAGTATCCGCTTTACATAGAGAATATTGGTTGTGGCAATTAATTTAAAATTAATATGATGCTTTTTTTTATGACAAATCCTAATTTGAAAACAAGTATATAAACAATTTCTATACATGATCATTAAAATAATCTTCATAAGAGTATAAATTTGAATAAAAGAAATTTAAAACCGATTTGTAATCAAATCTAATTTAAGCTGTCGTGCCAGGGAAAACGGATTTTTGTTACCTGCAAACCATATAAACATAGTTTAAAGTACAATTAAAATACCAAATACTTACATGCTACGTATCCAGATGTGTGATCAATCTACCATGAAACCATCTTCATTGTCAAGGAGTGTAACATATTTTGGCTGTATCTAACAAAACCAAATCATCAATTAGTATCAGCTTCAAATAGAGACTATTGGCTGTTGCAATCAATTATAAAATAAATTTCACTCATATTTTATGTCAAATCCTAAATTGGACACAAGTATATTTACAATTAAAAACCAATTGTTCTAATTGTTCAAAGAACAATTGAAGGTCTTTCCACATCAATTTTCTAAATAATTGAGAAGCTACTTCTGGTTTACTCAAAGCTACTATTGGCGTTCAATCATAGGTTTCTTCATACTGATTCAATAAATATGTTTCTATAGACTTTTGCCTGAAATAACGGGAGATAATTGTCAACTTCCGGTCTCATTCGATAGCTTTATTCACTCTAATTCCAAAAATTTATAATTTGTATATACTTATGCATGTAATAAGGGATATATGCTACTTCCGGTTTATAAAATGTCACTTCCGGTCTCAAATGATAGGTTAATGTATGACCATTCAAAAAATATATGGTTTCTATGTATTTTTACATAAAATAAGTGCAAAAGTGACTACTTCCGGTTCACTCAAGGTCACTTCCGGTTGATATTTTTAGAGGTCACTTAACATTTTCTAAAAGACCTTATTGCTTTATCATGTACCAATCTGAAGTAGTAATCAATTTACCTTAAAATTAAACATTTCAGGGGCAATAACTCCTATAAGATGTCACTGGATTGTTTCAGACCAAATGTATCATATCTTCATCACAATAAAACAAACATTTAGCACTAGTTCTTTATATATAACGTTAAAAATATCAGAGAAAATGCAAAAACAAGCAAAAGCGAAATTTAGAACATGACCTTGACCTCATTTTCTAAGTTAGGCCCCAAGGACCTCAAATAAAAAGACTAGGTTTATAAAGCTTACAGTTTATGAGTTACAAAACCATGACAAATTTTATTGATAAAGGTAGATAACTCCTATAAAATTTCACCGGATTGCTTCAATCCAAATTTGCCAAAAATTTCTGAGGATGTAACCAACAAATATGAAAAAGAATTTTGTCGTTATCTTTTTTGGTTACGGGGGAAGATACACTCACAAGAAAAAGTGTTTGGGGAGATAACTCTTACAATAAAAAATTCTTCGCCTTAAAGAGATAAGTTTAAAAAGCGCAATAACTGTTAGATATCATATTCAAAATATATAAGCGACATCTTGCAACACAAATTTATACCGCAAGAAAAGGGTTTGGCGGAAGAAGAAGAAAAAAAATTAAAATAATAATCAGTACAAATACAATAGGTCTTTCCACAGAAAAAAGACCTAATTACTACGCATTCATGTTAAAATTTACTTTCCTAGATTATAAATTTCAACAAAAGATATATGTAAACTAATTTGAAATAAGATTTTATTTAAGCTATTGTTCCAGGGAAAACTGATATTTATTACCCAACACACATAAACATAGTCTAAAGTACAATTTTAATGACTAAATACCTACATGTTAAACATCCTAATGTCCCATCTACCATGAAACTATCTTCATTGTGTGGGAGAGGAACACATCTGGGCTGTATCTGTTACATAAGAAAAAATTAAATTAGCATCAGCTTTAGATAGAGAATTTTTAATGGCTGTTAAAAAAATTAAAAAAATTAATGTGATTCATGTTTTATGTCAAATCTTAAATTATGGACAATTAATTTACAATTACTCTTTCATTCTTATTAAAATATACCACATTTGAAATTCGAATAAGATATTTTAGACCAATTTGTAATAAAATTTTAAGCTATTGTTTCAGTGAAAACAGATTTTATTGACTTCCAAATATTAACATAGTTCTAAGTACAATTGTAATGACCAAATACTTACATGTCGACTCTTCCTATCTGCCATGAATCCATCTTCTCTGTCTAGGAGTGCAACATATTTAGGCTGTATCTTTAACAAAAACAATAACTTAATATCAGCTTTAAATAGAGACTATTTGCTGTTGCAATTTTTTCAGAATTTAATCTTTTGCATGTTGGACAAGAATATTTATAATTACTATACATTCCAATAAGAATATATTTCATTAGAGTATAAATTTGAAGAAAATTTTTCTGAGACCAATTTGTAATAAAGTTTCAAATTGGTTGATAATGAAATAGAGCCAGACAAAAAAACTAAATACATTTTACTATAAACACAAGTTTTCATCATACTATGTAATCAGCTCTGCTGGGGGATCTGCTTTTACGAGATTAGCGCCCATTACATTCATCAATGTTATATCAAAATCTAAAGTTTGCTCTCTGCAGAGGTCTGCTTTTACGAGACCCATTTTAACATAAAGCATCTTTTTGTCAAACGGTTCAGGAAAAAACGGATTTTTATTACCTTACACTCATAAACATAGTTTTAAGAAAAATTGTAATGACCAAATACCTACATGAGCAACATCCTAATGTGCTATCTACAATGAAAGCATCTTTCATGGTATAGGAGTGTTACATATTTAGGCTGTATAATCTGTAACAAAAACAAAAATTCGTAAGGGTTCCGCAGAACCCAGTGTCTCGCCTACTTTTTCTGTTAATCGCAGGCTCAACAAAAATGAGGAAGTAAATCAATAAAAATATTCCTCTTGATACTATCTTTTGATTGTAAGAACTTTCTGTCCAAGTTTGGTAAAAATCCAGGATAGTTTATGAATCTAATAAATGTTTAAAAACTTTATCTGCAGACTGAATGTAATGTTAACTTGAAGAAAACAAAATTTCCTTCTAGATACTAGCATTTGATCATAAACAACCTTCTGTTAAAGTTTGATGCAAATCCAAAATAGTATAAGAAAGTTATTAAAATTTAAAAAACTTTAACCACAGAGTGAATGTGTTGTTTCCTGACAGGAAATCTAAGTCCATTTAAAAGTAAAATACGGAAAAAATGGATTTATTATTTTACAAAATTTCCTTCTAGATACTAGCTTTTGATCATAAACAAGCTTCTGTCCAAGTTTGGTACAAATCCAAAATAGTATAAGAAAGTTATTAAAATTTTAAAAACTTTAACCACAGAGTGAATATGTTGTTTCCTGGCAGAAAATCTAAGTCCATTTAAAAGTAAAATACGGAAAAAATGGATTTATTATTTTACAAAATTTCCTTCTGGATACTATCTTATGATCATAAACAAGCTTCTGTCCAAGTGTGGTAGAAACCCAGGATAGTTTAAGAAAGTTATTAAAATTTTAAAAACTTTAACCACAGAGTGAATGTAATATTTCCCGGCAGAAAAACTAAGTCCATTTATAAGTAAAATACGGAAAAAATGGAATTTTATTTTTACAAAATTTACTTCTGGATACTATCTTATGATCATAAACAAGCTTCTGTCCAAGTTTGGTAGAAATCCAAGGTAGTTTAAGAAAGTTATTAAAATTTCAAAAACTTTAACCACAGAGTGAATATTTGTGGACGCCGCCGACGACGACGCCGACGGAAGGTAGGATCGCTATGTCTCGCTTTTTCGACTAAAGTCGAAGGCTCGACAAAAATTATAAATTAGTTTCTGCTTTAAATCCAAACTTTTTGTTGTTGCAATCAATTCAGAAAATAATGTGATGCGTGTTTTATGTTAAATCCCAAATTAGAGAAAAGTAAATTGTTGATGATTTGGTTTTGTTACAGATATAGCCTAAATATGTTACAATTATAATTACAATAACTATACATTCTTATTTAAATATTCAGCATTAGAGTATAAATTTGAATGAAAGAAATTTTAGACCAATTTGTTATATAGCTTCAATCTGTTAAAAAACTGATTTTTATTACCCAACAAATATAAATATAGTTTTAAGGAAAATTGTAATGACCAAATACTTACATGTGACTTATCCTAATGTGCTATTTGCAATGGAAGCATCTTTCATGGTATAGGAGTCTTACATATTTAGGCTGTATCTGTAATGAAAACAAAAAAAAATATACATTAATTTCAGCTTTTAATACAGACTTTTTGCTGTTGCAATCAATTCAGAAAATTAATGTGACGCATGTTTTAGGTCAAATCCTTAATTGGAGATAAGAATTTTTACAATCACCATACATTCTTATTAAAATATATCTCATTACAGTGAATATTTCAATAAATGAAATGAAGGACCAATTTGTAATAAAATTTCAAGCTGTTGTTCCAGAAAAAACTGATTTTAATTACCAAACAAATATAAACATAGTTTTAAGAACAATTGTTATGAATAAATACCTACATGTGACTAATCCTAATGTGCTATCTGCAATGGAAGCATCTTTCATGGTATAGGAGTCTTACATATTTAGGCTGTATCTGTAATAAAAATAAATATTTCAAATTAGTTTCAGCTTCAAAATCAAAGCTATTTACTGTTGCAATCAATTCAGAAATTAATGATATGCATGTTTGATGTCAAATCCTAAATTGGAGACGTATGTTTACAATAACTTTACATTCTTATTAAAATATACTTCATTAGGATATGAATAGGAATAAAAGAAATTTTAGTCCAATTTGTTATAAAGCTTCAATCTGTCGTTTCAGTGAAAACTGATTTTTAATGCCTCACAAATATAAACCTAGTTTAAAAGAAAAAAATTGTAATGAATAAATACCTACATGTGACAAATCCTAATGTGCTATCTACAATGAAACCATTTTCATTGTCGAAGAGTGTAACATATTTAGGCTGTATCTGTAACAAAAACAAAAATTATAAATTAGTATCAGCTTTAAAAAGGGAATATTTGCTGTTTCAATCAATTCAGAAATTAATGTGATGCATGTTTTACGTCAAATCCTAAATTTGAGACTAAAATTGAGAATGGAAATGGGGAATATGTCAAAGAGACAACAACCTGACCATAGAGCAGATAACAGCCGAAGTATATTTACAATTACTTAACTTATTACAGTAAGTATTTGAATAAAAGAAATGTTAGACAAATTTGTAATAAAATTTCAAACTGTTGTTCAAGGGGAAAACTGATTTTTGTTACCTAACACATGTAAAAAGAGTTAAAAGTACAATTATAATGACCAAATACCTACATGATATGTATCTTCGTGTGCTATATACCATGAAAGCATCTTCATTGTCTAGGAGTGTAACATATTTAGTCTGTATCTGTAACAAAAACAAAAATTCTAAATCAGTATCCGCTTTACATAGAGAATATTGGTTGTGGCAATTAATTTAAAATTAATATGATGCTTTTTTTATGACAAATCCTAATTTGAAAACAAGTATATAAACAATTTCTATACATGATCATTAAAATAATCTTCATAAGAGTATAAATTTGAATAAAAGAAATTTAAAACCAATTTGTAATCAAATCTAATTTAAGCTGTCGTGCCAGGGAAAACGGATTTTTGTTACCTGCAAACCATATAAACATAGTTTAAAGTACAATTAAAATATCAAATACTTACATGCTACGTATCCAGATGTGTGATCAATCTACCATGAAACCATCTTCATTGTCAAGGAGTGTAACATATTTTGGCTGTATCTAACAAAACCAAATCATCAATTAGTATCAGCTTCAAATAGAGACTATTGGCTGTTGCAATCAATTATAAAATAAATTTCACTCATATTTTATGTCAAATCCTAAATTGGACACAAGTATATTTACAATTAATAAACAGCTGTGCCATGAGCGCATGATAAGCCCGTCGTCTTGTGTGTGAATTTTTATGCAATACGGCGTGACATGCGAAAACCCCCTTTTTTTTTTACAAAAAACTCAATATCTCTAAAATAAAATTTTGAAACAAAATCAAAAATTTTACAGATCTTTAGATTAATATAACTAAAAAGTGTGTAAAATTTTAAGCAATAATCAAATCGTTTTGAGATACGGCGCGACATGTGAAAACCCCCCCTTTTTAAAAAAAAAAAATTTATATCTCAAAAATAAAATTTTGAGTCAAAACCAAAAAGTATACAGATCTTTAGATTAATATAACTAAGAAGTGTGTAAAGTTTTAAGCAATAATCATAAATCGTTTTTGAGATACGGCGCGACATGTGAAAAACCCCTCCCCCTTTTTTAACAAAATACTCAACTCAAAAATAAAATTTTGAATCATCACCAAAAAGTATACAGATCTTGAGGTTAATATAACTAAGAAGAGTGTAAAGTTTTAAGCAATAATCATAAATTGTTTTTGAGATACGGCGCGACATGTGAAAAAAAACACACACCTGTTTTAGTTACTAAGTCCCGTAACTCAAAAAGTTTTAATCTTATTTTCACCAAAAAGTATACAGATCGTTTGACTATCATAAGAAACAACTATGTTAAGTTTCATGAAATTTGGATAAGTCATTTTCAAGTTACGGTGCAACATGTTTACGCCGGTCAGACAGACGGATAGACAGACAGACGGACAGACAGACAGACGGCCGGACATTTGTAAACCATAATACGTCCCGTCAAAAATTTGACGGGCGTATAAAAACCAATTGTTCAAAGAACAATTGAAGGTCTTTCCACATCAATTTTCTAAATAATTGAGAAGCTACTTCTGGTTTACTCAAAGCTACTATTGGCGTCCAATCATAGGTTTCTTCATACTCATTCAATAAATATGTTTCTATAGACTTTTGCCTGAAATAACAGAGATAATTGTCAACTTCCGGTCTCATTCGATAAGCTTTATTCACTCTAATTCCAAAAATTTATAATTTGTATATACTTATGCATGTAATAAGGGAGATATGCTACTTCCGGTTTATAAAATGTCACTTCCGGTCTCAAATGATAGGTTAATGTATGACCATTCAAAAAATATATGATTTCTATGTAATTTTACATAAAATAAGTGCAAAAATGACTACTTCCGCTTCACTCAAGGTCACTTCCGGTTGATATTTTTCAAGGTTACTTAACATTTTCTAAAAGACCTTATTGCTTTATCATGCACCAATCTGAAGTAATAATCAATTTATCTTAAAATTAACCATTTCAGGGGCAATAACTCCTATAAGATGTCACTGGATTGTTTCAGACCAAATGTATCATATCTTCATCACAATAAAACAAACATTTAGCACTAGTTCTTTATATATAACGTTAAAAATATCAGAAAATGCAAAAACAAGCAAAAGCGAAATTTAGAACATGACCTTGACCTTTGACCTTGACCTCATTTTCTAAGTTAGGCCCCAAGGACCTCAAATAAAAAGACGATAGGTTTATACGGCTTACAGTTTATGAGTTACAAAAACATAACGACAAATTTTATTGATAAAGGTAGATAACTCCTATAAAATTTCACCGGATTGCTTCAATCCAAATTGGCCAAAATTTCTGAGGATGTAACCAACAAATATGAAAAAGAATTTTGTCGTTATCTTTTTTGGTTACGGGGGAGATACACTCACAAGAAAAACAGTGGGGAGATAACTCTTACAATAAAAAATTCTTCGTCTTAAAGAGATAAGTTTAAAAAGCGCAATAACTGTTCGATATCATATTCAAAATATATAAGCGACATCTTGCAACACAAATTTATACGGCAAGAAAAGGGTTTGGCGGAAGAAGAAGAAAAAAAATTAAAATAATAATCAGAACAAATACGATAGGTCTTTCCACAGAAAAAAGACCTAATTACTACGCATTCATGTTAAAATTTACACATACAAACATAGTCTTAAGTACAATTTTAATGACTAAATACCTACATGTTAAACATCCTAATGTCCCATCTACCATGAAACTATCTTCATTGTGTGGGAGTGGAACACATCTGGGCTGTATCTGTTACACAAGAAAAAATTAAATTAGCATCAGCTTTAGATAGAGAATTTTTAATGGCTGTTAAAAAAATTAAAAAGATTAATGTGATTCATGTTTTATGTCAAATCTTAAATTATGGACAATTAATTTACAATTACTCTTTCATTCTTATTAAAATATACCACATTTGAAATTCGAATAAGATATTTTAGACCAATTTGTAATAAAATTTTAAGCTATTGTTTCAGTGAAAACAGATTTTATTGACTTCCAAATATTAACATAGTTCTAAGTACAATTGTAATGACCAAATACTTACATGTTGACTCTTCCTATCTGCCATGAATCCATCTTCTCTGTCTAGGAGTGCAACATATTTAGGCTGTATCTTTAACAAAAACGATAACTTAATATCAGCTTTAAATAGAGACTATTTGCTGTTGCAATTTTTTCAGAATTTAATCTTTTGCATGTTGGACAAGAATATTTATAATTACTATACATTCCAATAAGAATATATTTCATTAGAGTATTAATTTGAAGAAAAATTTTCTGAGACCAATTTGTAATAAAGTTTCAAATTGGTTGATAATGAAATAGAGCCAGACAAAAAAACTAAATACATTTTACCATAAACACAAGTTTTTATCATACTATGTAATCAGCGTTGCTGGGGGATCTGCTTTTACAAGATTAGCGCCCATTACATTCATCAATGTTATATCAAAATCTAAAGTTTGCTCTCTGCAGAGGTCTGCTTTTACGAGACCCATTTTAACATAAAGCATCTTTTTGTCAAACGGTTCAGGAAAAAACGGATTTTTATTACCTAACACTCATAAACATAGTTTTTAAGAAAAATTGTAATGACCAAATACCTACATGAGCAACATCCTAATGTACTATCTAAAATGAAAGCATCTTTCATGGTATAGGAGTGTTACATATTTAGGCTGTATAATCTGTAAAACAAAAACAAAAATTATAAATTAGTTTCTGCTTAAATCCAAACTTTTTGTTGTTGCAATCAATTCAAAAAATAATGTGATGCGTGTTTTATGTTAAATCCCAAATTAGAGAAAAGTAAATTGTTGATAATTTGGTTTTGTTACAGATATAGCCTAAATATGTTACAATTATAATTACAATTACTATACATTCTTATTTAAATATTCAGCATTAGAGTATAAATTTGAATGAAAGAAATTTTAGACCAATTTGTTATATAGCTTCAATCTGTTGTTTCAGGAACAAACTGATTTTTATTACCCAACAAATATCAATATAGTTTTAAGGAAAATTGTAATGACCAAATACCTACATGTGACTTATCCTAATGTGCTATCTGCAATGGAAGCATCTTTCATGGTATAGGAGTCTTATATATTTAGGCTGTATCTGTAATGAAAACAAAAAAAATATACATTAATTTCAGCTTTTAATACAGACTTTTTGCTGTTGCAATCAATTCAGAAATTAATGTGATGCATGTTTTATGTCAAATCCTTAATTGGAGATAAGAATTTTTACAATCACCATAAATTCTTATTAAAATATATCTCATTACAGTGAATATTTCAATAAATAAAATGAAGGACCAATTTCTAATAAAATTTCAAAGAGTTGTTCCAGGAATAACTGATTTTAAATACCAAACAAATATAAACATAGTTTTAAGAACAATTGTTATGAATAAATACCTACATGTGACTAATCCTAATGTGCTATCTGCAATGGAAGCATCTTTCATGGTATAGGAGTCTTACATATTTAGGCTGTATCTGTAACAAAAATAAATATTTTAAATTAGTTTCAGCTTCAAAATCAAAGCTATTTGCTGTTGCAATCAATTCAGAAATTAATGATATGCATGTTTGATGTCAAATCCTAAATTGGAGACGTATGTTTACAATAACTTTACATTCTTATTAAAATATACTTCATAAGATATTTGTTATAAAGCTTCAATCTGTCGTTTCAGTGAAAACTGATTTTTAATGCCTCACAAATATAAACCTAGTTTAAAGAAAAAAATTGTAATGAATAAATACCTACATGTGACAAATCCTAATGTGCTATCTACAATGAAACCATTTTCATTGTCGAAGAGTGTAACATATTTAGGCTGTATCTGTAACAAAAACAAAAATTATAAATTAGTATCAGCTTCAAAAAGGGAATATTTGCTGTTTCAATCAATTCAGAAATTAATGTGATGCGTGTTTTATGTCAAATCCTAAATTTGAGACTAAAATTGAAAATGGAAATGGGGAATATGTCAAAGAGACAACAACCTGACCATAGAGCAGATAACAGCCGAAGTATATTTACAATTACTTAACTTATTACAGTAAATATTTGAATAAAAGAAATGTTAGACAAATTTGTAATAAAATTTCAAACTGTTGTTCAAGGTGAAAACTGATTTTTGTTACCTAACACATATAAAAAGAGTTAAAAGTACAATTATAATGACCAAATACCTACATGATATGTATCTTCGTGTGCTATATACCATGAAAGCATCTTCATTGTCTAGGAGTGTAACATATTTAGTCTGTATCTGTAACAAAAACAAAAATTCTAAATCAGTATCCGCTTTACATAGAGAATATTGGTTGTGGCAATTAATTTAAAATTAATATGATGCTTTTTTTTATGACAAATCCTAATTTGAAAACAAGTATATAAACAATTTCTATACATGATCATTAAAATAATCTTCATAAGAGTATAAATTTGAATAAAAGAAATTTAAAACCAATTTGTAATCAAATCTAATTTAAGCTGTCGTGCCAGGGAAAACAGATTTTTGATACCTGCAAACCATATAAACATAGTTTAAAGTACAATTAAAATATCAAATACTTACATGCTACGTATCCAGATGTGTGATCAATCTACCATGAAACCATCTTCATTGTCAAGGAGTGTAACATATTTTGGCTGTATCTAACAAAACCAAATCATCAATTAGTATCAGCTTCAAATAGAGACTATTGGCTGTTGCAATCAATTATAAAATAAATTTCACTCATATTTTATGTCAAATCCTAAATTGGACACAAGTATATTTACAATTTAAAACCAATTGTTCAAACAAAGAACAATTGAAGGTCTTTCCACATCAATTTTCTAAATAATTGAGAAGCTACTTCTGGTTTACTCAAAGCTACTATTGGCATCCAATCATAGGTTTCTTCATACTGATTCAATAAATATGTTTCTATAGACTTTTGCCTGAAATAACGGAGATAATTGTCAACTTCCGGTCTCATTCGATAGCTTTATTCACTCTTATTCCAAAAATTTATAGTTTGTATATACTTATGCAAGTAATAAGGGAGATATGCTACTTCCAGTTTATAAAATGTCACTTCCGGTCTCAAATGATATGTTAATGTATGACCATTCAGAAAATATATGGGTTCTATGTATTTTTACATAAAATAAGTGCAAAAATGACTACTTCCGGTTCACTCAAGGTCACTTCCGGTTGATATTTTTCAAGGTCACATGTTACTTAACATTTTCTAAAAGACCTTATTGCTTTATCATGTACCAATCTGAAGTAATAATCAATTTACCTTAAAATTAAACATTTCAGGGGCAATAACTTCCATAGGATGTCACTGGATTGTTTCAGACCAAATGTATCATATCTTCATCACAATAAAACAAACATTTAGCACTAGTTCTTTATATATAACGTTAAAAATATCAGAGGAAATGCAAAAACAAGCAAAAGCCAAATTTAGAACATGACCTTGACCTCATTTTATAAGTTAGGCCCCAAGGACCTCAAATAAAGACTATAGGTTTACAGTGTTCTCCCCAGGATTTTTGGATAGCACCAGGGTAACGCGTGTCAAAATGATTTGTACAACATGTTGTGTCGCGTTGCATTGCTTTTTTTTTTCTTGTTAGTTTTTGTGTCATTACCTTTTTGTCTTTGTTTTGTTTACTGTGTTATGTAGACTTTGGGTCAAAAAATTACTGGTAAAAAAAGAAGTAAATCAATAATCAGTTTGTATACTTTAATTTCTTTTTAGAATAAATAAACGAAAGCACTATTAGTCTTTAAACTTAAGTCACTTTTTATATTTTGATCAAGCCAATTTGTCCTGATACTTGAAGTTACACTACACTTTCCCCATTTTTATTAGATTACACCATAACAATTAAATGTAAACAAGATTAAATTTAAATGCAGAACCTCTAGTAAATTAAAAACTATTTTCCATAGCTTTAGCATTCTTTTAAACAACAATACAATTATTATTAGAATCTTATTGTGTTACATGGTAGATAGACATGTGAAGTAAATTTTATCATCTATATGTACACCCATATATCATATCAAGCTGAGTTCCAATCAGTGTCTAAAGACTGGGACTACTTTAACCGAAATCAGTTACCAATTAGAAAATACTACCTATTTATAATAATATGTCTGTGCATTAATAAAAGTATGATTATCAAAAATAATTTGCAATATATTTTTTTTGGTATGTTCAAAGAAAGTTTTTATCCTTAAGGTAACATTCTTATATAATTTTGCATTAAATTTGTACTTTATTTCTATTTTCAATGATAGATGATATTTTAGGAGCACTTATTTGTAATAAGCTAATTCAGGGGAAGTAACTCCAACACGTTTAAAATACGCAAATTATTTATAACCAAAGGCTGGAGTAATAGAATTAATTAACAAATGTCTGCTTGTCCCTCACAAGTCTGATCATTAATTATGATTTCTTAATTAATTAAAACACAAAAGAATCATGTACATCGATTAAATCCAATCATCAAGGTTAACCTCAAAAGGTAAATCGATCACGTGGTGTAAACAATCAAGTTGTTTGAACTGGTTTGAACTGGTCAATTTTCATTTGAAATTTTATACCCCACGGAAAAGGTTTAACAAGTCGCTTAAAACTTTACCGATTTACGATTTTTTTACCGAAAATTTTAGCACCACGGAGAAAAATTATAAATCGCGGCAAGAACGATACCACCACGGTAGAAAATTATACATTGCGGGCCCGCGGTCCTTTAAGGGCCTGGGGAGAACACTGGTTTATACAGCTTACGGTTTATGAGTTACAAAAACATAACGACAAATTTAATTGATAAAGGTAGATAACTCCTATAAAATTTCACCGGATTGCTTCAATCCAAATCGGCCAAAAATTTCTGAGGATGTAACCAACAAATATGAAAAAGAATTTTGTCCTTATCTTTTTTGGTTACGGGGGAGATACACTCACAAGAAAAACAGTGTTTGGGGAGATAACTCTAACAATAAAAAATTCTTCGCCTTAAAGAGATAAGTTTAAAAAGCGCAATAACTGTTCGATATCATATTCAAAATATCTAAGCGACATCTTGCAACACAAATGTATACTGCAAGAAAAGGGTTTGGCGGAAGAAGAAGAAAAAAAATTAAAATAATAATCAGAACAAATACAATAGGTCTTTCCACAGAAAAAAGACCTAATTACTACCCATTCATGTTAAAATTTACTTTCCTAGATTATAAATTTCAACAAAAGAAATATGTAAACTAATTTGAAATAAGATTTTATTTAAGCTATTGTTCCAGGGAAAACTGATATTTATTACACTGGTAGACATATTTGGAAAATGACCGCGATTTTTGGCTAATCTCCGCGAAACGGATAATAATTAGAGGTTCATCGTAAATTTGCTGTATTACAGAATATTATGCATGTTATCCGGAGATTTTCCGTGTCGGCGGGAATTAGCCGTTTGTCCGATAAAACGGGTGTGTATTGAGTCAGTGATAGAACCAGTGATGTGTGAGCGACGGTTATTAATAGATCGTTGTACATAGATGATTATAGAATCCGTTATGCGTGAGCGACGGTTATTAATAGATCGTTGTGATATATACAATGTTTACAGTCAGATTAAAAAAAACTATCCTATTTCCCTTTTCGGTCGAGATAAAACGGTGTTTTTGATAATAAAGCTACTTACGATTTAAATATCAAATGTTGTCATTGTTCATTAAAGAAAAATCTATATTAATGTGACCAATGAACAAGATGAATACACGTGTTATCTTTGCTATAGACAACTACAATTGTTTTAATATATGAATGGAAATCGTATATACGTTAAAAAACGTAAACTAATCTACTATTCATGATAGATTCATAATGTGAATCAATAGTTTGGGTCAGAAACTTTGTTCTCACTTTAAAAAATTCTTCACAATTGTCATGTTTAGAAAAAAAATCAGTCCTTGTACTAATAGAGTCTCCGGAAGATACCGTAATCGGGCAGGATGTCAAACTGATCTGACACTTGTCCTAGTGTATTTAACACCTGCTGTGATATTGCTTGTGCAATACCAGTGGAAGGTCGTAAATCAATCTACCCGATTGATCAGAATTTAATTTTACCTGTACATATATTTAGTCGTTATGGAGGATATCATAGATACATGTTATATATTGTATTGTAATTAATGAAGATAATTTAAATATATTATGTAATAAAGACCTATTTGCATATAAATCGAACATATTCATTCCAACCAAGAAGGTTTGAAATTGAAAGTTTTCAACAAACTTTTGATAAAATCTTTCCCGTGAATTACATACGAGTCATTGGTTTATAGTTACACAATTGTTACCCTTCTAACGTCTTATTTCTTTGTGCTATTAAAAGAACTCAAAATTTTCCATATCAGATCACATTTCGTACGAGTTCTAAAATTTATAATTGAATAATCTTCTATTTTCCTTTCGACACCACGTTCCCCATAGGAGCCTCAAGATCTAATCATACCTGTCAATCATTAGCCACAAGTTGGTCTGCCAGATAGATCACTCGTGCTTTCTATTATGACATCGTTGAGAAGTTTTTGTAAATTGATTTGTGATATAAATAAAGTGATGTGAAGTTTATTTTACGGCCGATCAAAATTTGATGTGATTCGATTTTTCTTTTACACAAAGATGTTTTTTAATATGTCATAAAATACATGGAAATAAAACATTTGAGTTCTTCTTTTTTTCCCGTAAATATATTCAATAAACCAAAATTTATTTCAAAAGGTAAACATTTATAATCATTACAAAGTTATAATTTGATTTTTATTTAAGTCGGTTAATGGAAACAATAAAATGACAACGTCTTTGCAGAAATATTAATCCAGACATTAACGTACTTAGACTGTCCATTTGTTCCACTGTGTAGGACAATTTATTCACGAACTACATCATTAATAATTACTAATATAACAGTTGCTGAAATGTAAGTTGTATATTATTTATTTTTTTACAAACATGCGTTTTGGTTCCGTTCAGATTTGCTATTACAGCATGTGTAGATTCCTTGATTTTCATCTAGTTTCAGTTATATATATACTAGTTCCAGTCGGTATAGGGCTATTCATTTTGCCTTCCAACAAAGTCAACAATTTAGCATCGGACGTATACGTGACTGCGTATTTATACATCTCTATATGTTATATCTGATGTAATGGACTCCTAGTATGTTGTCCTTTTAAAGTTGGCTATACAATATTGGCTGTGCTCATTGTTGAAGGCCGTACAGTGACATATAGTTGTTAATTTCTGTGTTATTTCTCTTGTGGAGAGTTGTCTGATTGGCAATCATACCACGTCTTCTTTTTTTTATAACGTACCCGTTTTAATAGCAATGTTATATTCAAAACGGATGAGAAAACCCCATGGATGACAATTATCTATATCCATGTCAAGTGGGGTTAGGTAATAGGAGCGGAACTTATTGATTATGTATGTTTGTGAGGGTCTGGATAGGATTTATAGAAGAATAGAGAACACAAATGGACAAAAAGTGCACAACATAGGACCAGAAAAGTAAAGAAAAATAGACGCCAAGAAAATAAAGAATATAGAATAATGAGAAAAAAATATGAAGAATAGAGAAAAACA